TATTCTCAAAAGGCTGACTATCCATATTTTTATTTAACTGTTTTCAGTCTGGTCTGGGTTTTTTTTGTTTGTTTTTTTTGCTGGTTTTCCAGAATGATCTACTCTGTCGAAGTCAGTGTTAAACAAAAATCTGTTTGCAAATAAAATCTGATCACTAAAGACCCACTTTCATGTTTTCACCCTCTCAACCTATTTTGGATTTCACACCAAACTGAATATTGTATTTTGCGTGAATGGATTTTTTTTCCCTTTCTCTGTCATATGAACTATAATGTTTTTCTTCTCATATATGAATCTATGCCCACATATCTCAAAGTGTCAAGGCGAAAATGTGTTTTCCCTACCAGGCACTGATAAGAGAGGAAAACTATTTTGCAAGAGGATATAGACAACACAAATTGCCTACAAGCCTTTTGTCTATTCAGGTTCCATTCTTACATAACTAGGAAATTACTGACTTGTGTGTATCTAGCTCTATATGGTCTATTGTGAAAGGGACTCTTTTTTAAACTGAAACGTTTACTGTTGTACTTTCTACATAGAAAAAAGAAGCTGAAAAATATCTGATTTAATTCTGTTTAGAGTATATCATTGCCCTTTGAATAGGTACCATTCAGACGCCTAACATTTTAAGTAGCTAGACTATATCGTTAAACCCAAAAATAAAAATGTGCATAACGAACAAAGCAGGACTTATGACTTTTTCTTTGTTCCTCCTAAAGCGTTCATGCTGCCCACCTTCCAAGCTACGCCGTCTGTTCTCTACGCCAAAATCAATGGCTCGGAAAGTCTGTCCTGTGAATGTCCAGATCACTCCTGCCAGGAGGTTTTTTGGTACCGATACCTTGAGAGGACAAAGACTCTTCAGTTCCTAGTGTATGTCAACAGCGCTGGCAGAGAGAAACATGGAGAACGCCTGAACGGCACTCGCTTCAAGGGCTCCGTGTCCTCTGGACAGAGGGTGGTCTACACCCTGCGTATAACAGGACTACAGGAGGATGAAACCGGCCTCTATTCCTGCATGTTTAAAACTAAGAATATTATGCCTGTTGGATATTACATAATGCCTGGAGGTATAGCAGCGCTCTCCTTCTACCGTTTTTTTTTCTTGAGTTTCTTTCTTTAATGGTGTTAGCGTTGGTTAGTGAATGAAGATTTTAGGATGAAGAAAGTCAAGAAGACCAAAGTAATGAAACTGAGACACCTAATGTTGGTTTACAGAGTCATATTAGTAAAATCACACTTGCATTGAGCTTTCCATCCCTAAAGTGAGAGGATCTTTACCTGGTGTGAAGCAGGAGATGTTTTTCATGGTGCCCCAGAACATCTCAAGATCTTGAAATAAATGACTAATCAGTGGAGAGATTGAAAAAGATTCCGAGATGTTTGGCCTGACAATCCCAGAGTTCTGTTAGTTTTAGCAGTCTTGACCTGTCTGGGATCTTCTAGTCTGGAAAGTTCATATTAATTGACTTGGTTGTCAAGTTGCTGGACGCAGTGGGTGCAAATTTCATATCACCATAAAATGTATATAAGTAAATCTATATGTATTTATGTGCTGTCTTGATGTTCTCTTTTCTTTGTTCTCCAGTGAATCCTCCAACAGTTCAGCCGCCAACTGTTAAGACCAAGAAACCCGTGAAGATCTGTAATTGCAAACGCTCCAATTCTCCTAAAGGTGCGGATTGAGCTGTGCTGTTAGATGTAGCTGATTTTGTGCTGTTTTGTTTTTTATTGGTTTCTTTGTGTTGAGTTGCAGGCTGTGAAAAATTAGTGCTTTGGCCGGGCATTGGTGCTCTTCTGCTTTTGGCCATTACACTTGTGGGCACACTTTACTACTTCAGTCGTGAGTACACACAATCACACATACACACAGAGCTCGCTCATGTCTTTGTAACACACTGGTACATCACAGTGGTCAATGAAAAAGCTTCACAACTTCAGTTTGGCCATGTGACATGTTTACTCTCGCATACATTGTTTCAGATGTTCAGAAGTGCATTTTCAGAGTTTCAGAAGTGCTACCCTAACAGTGCTAATAGTTCTGTAACCGTATAAACTGTTCACCGTATAATAAAAGTGGAATTAATTTAAATAGGAATTCTGTATAAAATTTCATATGCATGTCAAGTCTGCCTCATAAATGTTTTCTTTTTTTATATATATTGGGACAACAGGTCTACCTAAGAAGTGCAGACATCGATTTACCAAGTAAGTCAAGAAATATTTCAATCTGTTGCTGCATAATGAGATTTTCAGTGGGGTTTTTTTATCAAATAATTTAATTAATGTTATTTCTATGAGTAAAATGTCTTTAAACTGATCTGTGGCCCTTTTTTGGCCATGGAAATGAGGAAATAAACAGAAAGGTTATGGCTGTGGGTAGGGATGTAACGATTAACTGCAAGCCGGTTGAAAATCGATTCAAATATGTGACGATTCAAATCGGTTGAGATGCTAAACAAATCGCGATTCATTTAGGTGTAGGAGTTTATATGAATGTATGTCTGAGGGGAACTTACTGTCTTTAGAAAAGTTTAGATGGTATTTTTTCTTTTCATCGTGCCTCTGTATAACGCATATTAAAGTTCGTAAGTGCAGCGCTGCTTTGTTTACAGCGGAAACCAGGAAACGGTTTAGGCGCCACCTGCTGGCAGAGAGTGAATCTGCATCTCATTCAGCTTTGCTGTTTCATGCAGATATTTTTATTTATAGTTTCACAAAACTGAAGTCAAACCATTCTGTTTTTGCTTCAAATTTCGAAACTATACAATCTAATTTAGTTTAAAAACTGCTCATGTTGCATGTATGCAGCATCTTTGTTTGGATCATGATTAAAATGCAGTGGTTGCCTCTAATTTTAAAAGGAAAGAGCACAGACAAAGCCTTATTTTGTTTATATGAAGATATTTATTTTATTTGTGTTACTTATTTATTTGATTTGGGGCTTGTTTTAAAAGTTCAATTTAGTTTTGTTATTTACATTTACATTATATTTAAATTTTGTAATTTAGCAGACGCTTTTATCCAAAGCGATTTACAAATGAGGACAATAGAAGCAATCAAAACCAACAAAAGAGCAGTAATATGCAAGTGCTATATTAGTATATTATTATAGTGTTATATTTCAATTTCACAAA